TCACCCCGCCAACAAAGCCCGCTGTACTCTAGCGGGAGTGCCGCTGAAAACGTGCTGGAGCACGGCGTCCTGCGACCCTATTCTTGATCCGCGCCGAGCAATCCACACCTGCGTCAGCGCCCCAAACATCCCGCGTTCCATTGGCTTTCTTGGGCGCTAGTATCCAGAGATCAGCTCAGGCGACCCCTCAAACGGGCGCGCATCGTCTTTGCATTTCGCACAAGCTGACATCGGCGGCGCAAAGGGGGCTCCTCAAATTCCGATCTCTGAGGACAAAACTGCGGCAGAGATCTCCGCGGAGTCTGGTGAGCTCACACCATTCCAGCCGGAGCAACAAAATGCAGCTCAAACCCAATGACGGAGTAGCATTACCGGAGGCCGAATGACTAATTGAGATTCCGTCAGCAGATACCCCGAGCACAAGCAAAGGGTTCGGGCTCACCGTTCTTCGGCTCGTTTTCTCGACCTCCGTGGTTACTTTGAACTCTCGTTTCGCCTGCAGCTGCTTTACATACCCGTACTTGGCGCACTGGGAAATGTCAGATATTGCTGCGCGCGGACAAAGGAACGGACTAGTTTACCTGTGCCTCGGCTTCCACCTGCAGGTCTCGCGTCTCGAACCTGGGCCAGTGGATGCGATGGATACAGCATGATACACAAAACTTGCTCTTGTCTGACGCCAGCGGCTTGCCGAAGTCGTTCTTGGCTCTGACCTCTGGCGGCTTGGATGACGATTTGAACAGACTCCAAAACCCCCAACCGATCTCCCTGAGCCGGACCTCGACGTCAAAGTCGAAGTGGAGATATCGACGGAGCTCTGACAAGCCGCACATGGGACCTCGATTCAGGATGTTGTCGATTTCCTCCGCATCTACTTCACGGGCGATGGTAAGCGGGTAGTTGATATTTTCGTAGATCTCCGGAGTCCACAGATGGAGTTGGGCCTCGGTCTGCCCAGTCCAGTGCGCCGCGCGGTCGTACTCGTGGTGTCGGGATAGGCGATGCCGACAGCGCCAAGGCTTGACTCGGCGACAACTGCATCCCCCGGCGTGGGCAGACGATACGCGAAAGTACGATACCGGCGAGGCCAAAGACTGAGAGCTCCCGCCGAGGAGGGTTGTGAGGCCGCCTCCGCTCCCCGTCCGCGGCGGAGGGTCTGGGCTATCAGCGTCCGAAACACTGAGAGGATGGGTGAGGGCTTACATGTTTCGTAAGTGAGAGACTTCCGCCAGCTACGAAGGTTTCTCTCGTATGTGACCTTCCGCGCGTGCGACGCATGCACCGTGAAGGCCGGGGTCGGTCCGCCAAGAATTGTTGCAGTTGCTCCAGCTTCCACCTCCGTCTCTTTATCGTCCTCGTGGGTGAACTTGATATCCGCGACGACCGCGTCTCCCTTCGGGAGCAAATCATGCCGTTCCCCGCTGCGGTACAGGTACCGCACGCTGACGGAGTCGAATATCCTGTTGTGCCTCTTGAGGCTGTGTTTGTCAGCGCTCGTCAGTTTTGATGGGGCCTCGGTACTGACTTGGAGGAGCCATTGATGGAAAGCTGCATCTTGAAGTTCAAGATGATGCGATACGCTGGCTTTGGACCAGTGTCACCTTCGTTGGGCTTGGGCCCGGACCGCTCTATTCTCATCACCGGCTCCAAAATGCTCACTGTAGTGTACAGTCCCTCTCCGCCGCCGACACTCTCCTCCAAGTCGAGTGGGCGGATATTTGCAAGCACTTTCGGTTTCACCTCTGGTTTCGGTGGTGGTTTGCACGCCGGGGCTGGTGGAGGACATGGCGGAGGACACAGCAGGGGACATGGTGGAGGCGGCGGAGGAGGAGGCGGTCTGCAGCATGGGTTCGGACATGGTGGGCATTTCGGGGATTTCGAAGTCTTCGAGCTCTTTGAAGCCTTGGAGCTTTTCGACTTCGAAGACTTGGCACAGTTGCTCGGCATCTTCTCCGCGATATACCGCTTCAAGGTTGACACAGTGTGGATGACATGGGGGAAAGCGACAGAACCGATCCACTATATGAGATCGCCACGGTGAGGAACCCGGCAGACATGAGTGACCGGGTGCGACGTGATCTCCGGGAGGCCGGCGCAAGACTCTTGACCACGTGCCCTAGGTCGCGCTGTTTAGTTTAGTTGAGACGGCGGCGGCCTAGGGCGGAGAAGAGTCCCGAGGACTCGGATCCCGACTGTTCTAGCCATTGATGGCGGCATCAGCCTGTGTGTTGGTGCCGTTCTTCGAGCCGCCGGTTCGAAGTTTGTCTCTGGTAGCGCAGCGCACGGCGCGCAAACCTGTCCCAGAGCTCGCAAGCGCGACATCCATTCTCATTCACCCGCCGAGCTCGTCAGGCGGTGACAAAGCGGACCACGCACGCCATCGTTGCAAGCTCGTTGGTGTCGCTCTTTCGGGTTACCCCCGCCGTTGGCGGCTCATCTCAGAGTTGGATACATATCTCAATCTGTCCATATCAGTCGGCTCAGCTCCTTCTCAGCCTTCCCTCGCGATGCACGAACCGCTCCTTGCGACGGCGTCTGGCGCGCCTCAACGCGCCAACTTGATCAACCACCACTGCGGCAGGACAAATCATCAATCACCGGCAACAAGCCCGGCTAGCTCAATCGGTAGAGCGTGAGACTCTTAAGAAGCATCTCCGAAATCTCAAGGTTGTGGGTTCGACCCCCACGTCGGGCTCAATTCCCGTCCATGGTTGTTCGCCATCTTTTTGGATGCGCACTGAGGATTTTTTTTTGGGCTTGGTGGTGAAGGTTTAGGTCTGGTTCCACAGGGCGGGACCCACATCGAGTGATGCGATTGGCGAAGTTGCCCCCCTGCCCCTGGAGCTCAGCAACCCACAACTTTTTCAAGAGGTGGAGAAGTATGGACTGAGAAGGGCACCTTATTGCAACGACAACTCTTTGTCCAATCTGTCGAGATACCTACAGCCCAGCAGCTGCCTGACAGCATGCGCTGCGTCAGAATCTTCAACCAAGATCTGTCTCAAGCCCCCAACGCCAAGTCGACGCACCAATGAGGCAAATTAAGCGAATGCGAGTGCGAACGACGGAGCCAATGAGATCGCCTGAATAACATCCTCGGGCACTCCTCCCTCCGACCACGCGGCATCAAACCTGGCAGACACGCAACACAGCCTCAGAATGCATCAAGCTGTCGCGGTATTACCATGGGAAATGACTGGTCGCCCGCGCGGCTGTCAACCCCTGAGCAAATGGCGTCTCAGCTTCTGCGACATCAGCGACGCCCTGGAATGTCGTCGTGTTTTCTAAAACCGCCTGCATACTGGCGGCGCAGCTTACCCGTGGGCGATGCCTGACAGACGAATGCGAGTCTGGGCGGCTGGGCGTTGAGATTTGACGTGGGACAAAGCTGGTATTTAAGTACAATGGCGTTTCTCTTCACCTTGCTTGGTTCTCTCCAGGCAATTATCACAGCAGACACAACATCATCGTCTTCGATCAGTGTTTGACGCAAGAGCTTCCACCATGTCGTCTTCCGAAACCCCAGCAGGGGATAAGGCGCCGCCGCCTAACGTGATCATATTCGGCCCCAGAGCTAACTGCACATTTGAGCTATGCTCACTCGAAATGACCGTGTACAGATATCAGCCCTCGATACCAGCAAACGCTTCCTTCATCGCCTTCTACGCCCTCGCGACTCTAATTCACACGTACTTGGGCCTGCGATGGAGGCGATGGTGGTTTACTATTTGCATCAACATTGGTTGCGTTAACGCCATGATTGGTTATGCCGGGAGGATCATGCTGCATTACAACCCATGGAGCTTCGCTGCGTTTATGATACAGATCGGTTCGTTTTCTTCTGCCTTGGTGGATGCCCCCCAAGTCTGGATACTGACAGCTTTCCTCCAGTTTGCGTTACGACCGGACCTGTTTACTACTGCGCCGCGATATACATCACCTTGGCTCTCTCGTATGCTCTTCACCCCTTCTTCTACCCCCTCTCTTCTCAAAGACTAACCAACCCTGAAATCCAGAATCCAAGCCCTCTCCCCCTCCCACTCCCGCTTCAACCCAAAACTCTTCTACTGGATCTTCCTCCCCTGCGATATGGTCTCCCTTGTCCTGCAAGCCGCCGGCGGCGCCATCTCCACATCCACATCAGGCGAAGGCCAGGTCGGCGTCGATCTTGCCATTGCGGGGATGGCCTTCCAGGTGTTTACCATGCTGATGTTCTGCGCCTTCCTGGGGGATTATTTGATCCGGTACTTCAAAGCCCAGGCGCGGGGGGAGATTTCGCTTGAGAGTGCGAGGCGGGGTATCAAGGGGACGGGGATGCGCCGGGTAATGCTGTTCTTTGGATTCATCTGCGTCGCGATCGTGTTGACGTTGTTGAGGTGTGTGTATCGGCTGGTAGAGCTACGAGAGGGGTACTCGGGGTCGTTGCTGCATGATGAGGGGTTGTTCATTGCATTGGAGGGAGTGTGAGTGTTCTTTTCCATTGTTCTCTTGGATGTTGAGAGTCAAATTGATGCTGACATTGCCTGCTGCAGGGTGATTCTGGTTGTGGTGTATTGTTTGATGATCGGCCATCCGGGGTTGGTGCTTGAGAGGGAGGGGAAGACGAAGGGAGGAGAGGGGAATGATACGGAGCTTTCGGAGGTGAAGCCTTGAGGCGAGATTGCGGTTTGGAAAACTGAGGTTGTGTCCGTGAGGAGCGATGGGAGAAACCCCGAAGTTGGATTGCACATGTAGCATCAACTGGAAGAAAAAAATATACCCGGCTGGCAATTCACCGCACCTCGTATGATGGATGGGAGCCTCGACGCTGAATGGTTGCGGCAGCATCACCGATCCTGTTGACAGCCAGACCACCAAACAATCACTGCAAAATTGGAAAAGACGGAAACCAAAAAAAAAAAAACCCTTATCTAGAATTTGCCCACGTATCACCCAGCCTTTACAACCTTGCGAATCCCAATTTTTCTAGTCAGAAAAGAGCAGAGCAAGCTTTTTAGTTGTGCCGGCAACTGGATTCGAACCAGTGCCACCGTTTGCCCAAGCTCAAGCCCGGACTCCCCGAAGGACGTCCAGGCGACCCTGAGGTCCCGCGTGCTACCGCTGCACCATACCGGCGCTGGGTGATATTTGGGTGCTACCAAATTGAAATTATAAGGTGCCGACCGGCTTGGGTGGGCCCGGCGCTTTTCGGGGGCGGTGTCTGATTCATCTGATGTCAACCTACTTCATAATTCTAGGCTATGCGGTGAGGCTGCTGGTGTGCCACGAGGCTCCCAGCCCTGGGCAGCTTTTTACTTGCAGAAGGATTAGATGAAGCTTTTGCTGTGAGAATTGTCCTGGGGTACGGATTCGGGACACCCGACCTTCTTCGGGACGGCATTCGCAGCCTCCGGGACCGACAAATAGGGAGTCAGGTCACCCAAGCCAACCTCCATGGTGGAGACCGATTATCTGCCACTCCAGCAACCTCCGTGCTAACCCATATCTTCCAATTGCTATGTTACATTTGCAGATGAGGGGACCTGCTGAGGAGAAATCGTGGCATCCGGTTTGTTTTCCTCCCTTTTCATGGTCGGGGCGGGGCTGCTGGGCAACGAGGTGCATGATGCTCTGTCGTCATGGCCACAAACAAATGACAATTCCTACACCGCCAAATCTCCACGGTGGTGTCCGGTCAGGTGGAGATCAGATACGATGGAACATTGCATACGAGGAGTCAGGTGCTGATGTTAGCTCCTAGCGCTTGTTTGTGTCCATTTGGCAGCGTCAGGAGGTACTTGAGACCCGCTATCTTATCCAGTAGCGTAGGTTTGGCCCTTCGTTCGTGACCGAGGGTCTCACCAACCATTGACGCTACCGCCTCTTTCAGCTTAGGATGGCTTCAATCTCCCACCTCCATTCTGAGTAAGATACTTCAACCCCCTGCTCAGCCCAACCTACTCGTTTTCAAGGCATCCTATGCTCGTCTCCGGATTTTCCTAGCCTCTTTACCACGGCGAATGGTCCACGAAAGCCACGATGATCCGATTCTCGCTCTCCTTCACAACGGTGTTTGCCGTGCTCCTGCTTCTGGCTCCCCCTGGATCGGTCTCATCGATGGAAAGTCCATCAACTCTGGAACAATCATCAAAACCGAGACTTTCCCGTCTTTCCTCATAGAGAACCTCGACAAGGATACCGCCGATGACATCGTCCAAGGACCCCAAGGCTACGTCCTTCCCGGCAAAGCCTACCTCTCCCGTTTCTCCTACCCCAACACCGTCAGCCACAACCCCATCTACGCCCCTATCACCACCGACCACACCCGCCCCTCATCCCTCACCATCAACGGCCGATACCCCTACCTCCCCGCCCCTAACTACGCCTCCACCCCCATCTCCGACTTCATCAACATCAAAGACCCCTCCCAAAACGGCGGCTACACCATCCACGGCGACGCCACCCACGACGACACCTCCGCCCTGACCTCCGCCCTCGCCTACGCCGCCTCCCGCAACAAAATCGCCTACTTCCCCTTCGGCAATTACCGCATCTCCTCCACCCTCCTCATCCCCCTCAACTCCACCATCATCGACGAAGCCTGGGCCACCATCACCGCCGCCGGCCACTTCTGGGCCAGCCCCTCAGACCCGAAGCCCGTTATCCAACTCGGCAACCCGGCGACGTCGGCAAGATCCGCATCCAAGACATGCGCTTCACCGTCTTGGACGTCCTCCCCGGCGCGATCATCCTCGAGATCCACGCCGCAGGCACCAACCCCGGGGACATCGCGATCTGGAACTCCCTTGTTACCGTCGGGGGTGTGCGCTCCGCGTCGGGGGTGACCTCCTCATGCACAGATAGCAAGAAACCATGCATGGCTGCGGCTATGGGGATTCACCTCCCGCCGACTTCGTCGGCATACCTTGAGAATGTCTGGAATTGGGTTGCTGATCACATCGCGGAGGATATCCCCGGCGGAGGGAGCAATATCGCCGCAGGTAGGGGTGTCTTGTTGGAGAGTACGAAGGGGACTTGGATCCACGCGCTCGGGAGCGAGCATTGGTGGTTATACCAGCTTCATATGCGCACGGCAGAGGGCGTCATGGTCTTGATGCTGCAGAGCGAGACGAATTACGACCAGGGAGATCACGCCCCGGTGATGCCATCGAAGCCATGGATTCCGGACGCGACGTATGATGATCCGGATTTTAGCTGGTGTACGAGTTCCGACGGGAGATGCAGAATGGGGGTGGGGAATCTGGTGACGGGTGGGAAAGATATCTACACGTATGCCTCGGCGAGTTGGGTGTTCTTCAGCGGGCCGGGGAGGCAGGGGTGTGCGGCGGGGGAGTATACCTGTCAGGAGGTGGTGCATTGGGTGCAGAAGCCCCCGGAGAATTTGAACATGTTTGGGATGTGTAGCAATAATGCGAAGGTGACGTTGCGGTTAGGGAATGGGACGGAGATCGTGACGAAGGATGGGTTTACGGGGGGGTTGGCCAGACAGTGGTGGTGATGTTGGGAGGTATACTCCGTGAGCCGGAAGTCAGTTCTTGGAGCGATGTGGGCTATTTTGGGGAAATATAGGCCTTGTTGTGTGTCAGATACGCCTTTAGACTTGCTAGATATGCATGGAAGCTTGAGAGACGTGAAGTTGCTCGTCAGGCCTTTCATGGTGTCCATCGAGCAACCAGGTGTGAGACCCAGTTCGTCCTTGTCTCTTCTGGAAAGATAGAAGCATGGCCGCCTTGCGTTTCCAGTCTTTTCTTCATCTGGGGAACACACTGGCGTAGTCCTTCAGGGCAATTCCTCCTTCTCCCCCCAGCCCTGATTGTAGCCTCCTCCAACCTTGCCTGTAGCCTCCCCCAAGACGCTCACTTCCAAATCGTGGTAGAACACCACAGCGATATGGCTCCCAGCATATGCTCGCTGTTTTCCCACGACATGGGGCAGTCAAAGTCCGTATCCTTCATTGCCGAAGGGTAGCAGAACCCAACAACCTTGTCATCCGTATCGACGATCTTCCCCTCTCTATTCTTGTAGTACGCTGCATCTCCTCGTCAGTTTGCTATTCTTGGCGCATCCACTTGCCTCAAGCGGGCAGCATAAGGCGAGGGAGAGCTCACTGTAATGTCCCCACCGTGTGTGAAACTCCAAGCGATCAATCTTCTCCGGGTTGCGCTTGGAGAACGGGCAGCCTTCGCCGTCGCAGGATACACCCTGCTTCCAGCTCACGTCCGGCTTGGTTTTGTAGATATCCTGGCTTTGGTTGACAAGATCGCAGGTGGGTTCGTTGTGGAAGAAACCCCACATTTCCTGGGACAGCAAGTACATCTGCGAAGTGGGGAATACAGTCAGCTCTTGCTTGGGAGGGGGGCCAGGGGGGCGCTGGATGGGGACGGGGAGGGGAGAGCTCACCGTGTAGACGTAGAAGCCATCTGCGAGAGCGGGGGCGATCAGCAGCTGCATGGCTGCAGCGAAAAGGATGAGGACCTTCATGCTGGTCGCTGTCGTCGGATTCGTTTAGCTGAGTGTTGGTGTCGGGAAACGATGGGGCAGAGGGGAGCTCCGAGGCAATCTTCTTGATCAACCGCGTGTCGAGGTCGGCGAAGAAACCACTTCCGGTGATCCTGGCGATATTTATGCCGGAACTCAACAGGTAAACCCCGATGGGTCGAAATGGTCAGCTGCGGTGAAGGCCCGATTCACTGGAGGATCTGCCTCACCTAGATTCACCGCGCAGACAAAGAACGTGGTGCCAAACGCCGTTTCTGACCTTGATCTGCACATTCTGTCTGATGTTTGCTTCACAGGTGACTGGCAAGTTGGGGCTCTTTTCTCCAGTTAGCTTCGAAGACTGGGCGAAAATGAAATTGGCGAAATTGCATCCGAGATCTCGCCAGATACCTCCCACAGCCTTATCGTTTATCTGCGACCTGCTCTTTCCTTTCACACTTGACGTTCCTCGGCGTCGACGGCGGCACAGCAGTGGCAATGATCTCTCTTCAAGCTGTGCTATCCCCGATGCACGAGCTATCTCCTCATCTCCCCAGGAGATGCCTCCGCCCCTTGAATCTCAACGCATGTCCCCTCACCCTTTGTCCGCCTGCATTCGCAACAAAGAGCGCTTCCTCACTGGCCATCTCCACCTCCCACAGCAGCCGCCTGTGAAGACGTCCACATGGTAACAGTCGCATTGCACCTGAACGTCGCCGCCGCGAGCCGAGAGGTCGGCTCCGCAGAATGAGGCCAAGTGCATTTAGTATAGTTGCCCGGGGGATACAGCGTCACCGGCTCGCAGTATCCCCACTCGCGATCGATCACGTCGTAGAACTTGCCACCTCGATTCTTGTAGTACGCTGCACCAATCACTCATCAGCGGCGCCCATTGCCAACACTCGCTCAGGAACGGCGCCACTCACTGTAGTGTCCCCAGCTAGCATGCCACTCAAAGCGATCCATCTCGAACGGGTTCCTGTTGTCCCAGAGACATCCCTTCCCGTCGCAAGCACAGACCCAATCACTGCTGGCATCGTCGGCGAGGGGATAGATCTCGTGAACATTGAGGATTTCCTCGCAGCTCGGTCTATACTTGTCAAGGTGGAAGAAGGCGAACTTCTGGCCTTTAATCGTAGGGTTTGTTCCGTCGGTGAAGGTCTGGTTTACTCTTGTTGTTAGCTGGAGGTCTCGGTATTCATTGACGAGGAAGGGCAACTTGCGTTGTAGATCCAGAAGATTTCGGCTGCAACGTGGGGGAGCAGCAGCTGGGCCAAGACTGCGAGGCAGAGGAGCATCTTCATGATGAACGGCAGTCGCATTTGCTGATAAGTGGTGCGCGTGTCGAGAGTAACGAAATCAGGTTCGCCAATGTCGATGTCTTAGGCAAGTCCAACAAAAAGCAGGTGCTTGTTGTCAACTGAGGGTTTAAATAGTTAGGACTGCTGTCTCAGGCAACAGCCGGAGACCAGGGCAGTCACGGCTTGACCCACTGATGTGAGTGGAGAAGGAGGACACCCAATGGGCCGGGGACCTGAAGGTCCTCGATTCAAGGCGCTGGCACAATTTCATCCCGTCTCTGAACATCCTACTGATCCAGACCACTCCACCCTTAGGAATCAAGGTGACCAAGGATG